AGGAATACATTGACTGTTGTTTGATTCACTGGTTTGATAGCACATTCATGCAAGTATTTTCAGGGGCAGATCATGGTCTGGGTTAGGGTTAGGCACTACATCTGTCCCAGCTTGGATCATGGATTGCTTATGTGCATTTCATCAGCATAGGAGGGACTAGTCCAGTCTCATCTGGAAAAGCATCCCATATGAGCCAGTGCCTCCTTATGTGTAGACAAAGACACTAAGATTTGCACAATGGTGCACATGTTAGGTCCAAAAAGCTATACCTACTTCAATTGTACAATTCAGGATTATAACTCATTAGCTCTTATGTGAGAACACTGATTCTTGGAAATGGTCCCTTAGTATGAGAATGACCTAGAAAAAAGTAGCACAACTGCCCAGGTGACCTCAGAGGGATTTGTGTGGACCCTGCCATTATATCCCACATTCCATATTCAAATATATTTTGGTGTCTGACGCTGAAGAGAAACTCTCAAGAGTGGTGATAATACCAGCTCAAATACTGATAATTTGCTGCGTTTTACTGGTATACTGCCTGTCTGCTCTTGCTGTGTTTCTTTTATGCTGTTTTAATGACTTGCTCTTCTCTTTTTAGTTTTTGTTTATTATTTATTTTTTTGCTATATAATTTGCATTTACTTTGTTTGTTAATTGTCCAGAGTAGTGCATTGGGCAGTATAAAAATGGAATCCATCCATCCATCTCCCCACCCCCACCCCAGCATCGGTCAGCTAAGGTGTGTGCTTGGCTAGCACCATATGCGAAATAAAATTCAAAAGTATCAACTAAGGGCATGGCCCATTCTGTGTCTCTATTAAGAGCTATAGATGACCGATATACATATACAGATATGCACTAACCTCCATTTGAAACCTCCCTCATGCCTAGAATGTCCTGGGAAGAGTTTTGGCTTTATTGGGAGTTCATTTGCCATTATTTTCCTTTAACAGTGGCAGCTCAGTTTCTCATGTGATTTTTATTGTCCCTTTTAACCCTTTCCCTCAATTCAAATTATTTACCATCTTTTCAACCCTACAAATGGCAACAGGATATATATTTCTGTACTATCAAGATATTATATATATAATCTTTCTGGGGAGTGAACAGTGGCTCCTTGTTCTACTCTGTAGTTCTCCAGATATCAAATATATTTGATAGACACCTATCATTTAGACCAGGTTTGAATATTTGTCTGAAGACACTGTATCTGCCTAGTATCAATTGAGAGGAAAGCAAAGAAAAGCATTTGATCACTTCTGGAGTTATTTAGTCCTGGCTGTTTTTCTGGTAAACTTTGGCCCTCAGTATAATTTCTGGCAGATGAGATCTCCCTTTTCTGTCCTTCAGATCAGTGGGAAGGAAGAGGGAGAAAGTGGGAAAGAAGGGTGTGCCAGGAATAGGAACACAGAGAGAAGCAGGGAGACAGAAAGAAGGTGATGGTAGAAAGAGATCGAAAAAAAGAGACAATCCAACATGCTTTTGGTTCTGGCTAACCTGCCACTAGCTTCATTCATGTGCACCAGACAAGTTATCCCTGAGGGAATGCTGCCCTCCACAAATTTTTCCCCCATTCCTGTACTATCAAGAAGTGCATCTTGTCACCGAAGGAACAACCAGCCACAAATAAGAGATGAGAGCCTGGCTTTGCATCTCACATACATGTCTGTCCATGACTTTATGTGAATCTGTGAGTGGTTTCCACATATTTTCCTCAAAGCATATTTAACAAGTGGGCAGTCAATGTAAGTACTGTAAGATGGCATGTTCTGAAATTTCTGTACCTTCTGATTCATTTAGAAGTGATTCGATAAAATCTTTAAAACACAAGAAATATCTCCTTTGCACAATTTCCCCCCATTCTGTAGTCCTTTCACATTATATCTGGCTCACCATCTCTTTTCACATTGTAGGGAGGATTAATCATTACTCTGAGTAACTGGTATAAAGTTAAAAGAGGAGTTTGCTTGCTTGTTTGTCTGATTAATTATCTTCCCTTTAAAAGGCAGGAAATAGCAGGAAAGAAACTAGAAATGTTAGTAGGGCTGACACATTTAATGAACTCTGGAGCTTTCAGTGTATACAATCAAGTATATGAAAGAACTGATTCTACATCTACATTAAAGCATTTGGAACTGGAAAGCATTTAAAATACAGGGAAGCTAAGTGTGGGATCAGCAGGAGTGCTTGGGCTGTGGCCAATATCCCTGCACGTGTGTGCCACCCCTGAACACCTCAACACTGATCATGAGCAAGTCATCCATTGATTGGGACCAGGACAACTCAGCTGCAGGGAGCATGGGGGGGGGCTCGAGAATGGCAACGGTGGAGCGGTGAGATAAAGGTAGTGAGGAGGAGAAGGCTCTGATTTGATGCTGTGGACTCGGATGCCTGCTAGGCTGATGAGGTGGTCCCAACATTGACCCACTCAACCAGGGGATGGGAGATGGTGCAGACACATAGCCCCTGGACTGGTGAGTGGACCAACCTCCTCCACGCCCCCTCAGAGGAGGTGGCCAGGCTGCAGAGGGCCACTGCAAGACAATGGGAAGCCCACCAGTTGGAGGAACAGAGGTGAGTCCAACGATGTCAGGAGCAATGTGAGGGCCAGGACCATCCAGAGGGATCAACTGGCAGACTGGCCAGATGGTCTGAGGACCCACACCACAAGCCTGCATACACTCCATCTGCTTCACTCCAGCACCTGGAAAGGAGTCGTGTGGACCGGGCATTCAAGATGGTGGATGCAGCAGTGATCCAAGCCCAGGAGTCTGGAGGACACCTCCCACCTCCCAGAGGTATGCCAGCCACCAAAGCCTCCTATCTATGAGGACAGGTCTTGGTATCAGTGCAACATCCCTGCTCTCTCCCCCCCCCCCATTTGACTCTCCTGAGTATCATGCTGGACTTTGTGGAAGAGAAGGGTTTCTACCCTATCACCCATGGCTAGCCCTAAGAATTATTATGGACGGCAGTCAGGAGAACTAAGTATTATCTGGGGATGGCCTGAAACTGGACAGACTCAGGACGCTGAGAGCATCAGGTAGATGCGGTTGGCAAGTGGCTCATTGGCCATGCCCTTTTGAGTTACTGTAAAAGAAATAAAGAACTATCTGTTAACACCACTCTGTGGGCCTGTCATGGAAGGGGAAGCTGGGGCCACTCACACTAATAATTCTTGGAAGTGGTCCCTTCCAAGAATTGAAATACTGTATTTATTGGTTACATTTATTTTCAACCTTTCCTCCACTGGGAGGAGGAAAAACAGGCTTCCCCTGTTTTATCTTCACAATAATTCTTTTAGATATGTCAGTCAGAGAGAAATGATGTCCAAGCTCACACAGTGAATGTCATGACCCAATAAGAATTTGAGCCTTGACTTCTCATGTCCCAGAACAGCTCTCTAACCACCACACTACACCATCTGTATTTCTGAATATGTACACCATGTCTACATTTAAGATAGGAATGCAGGTCAGATGTCTGTCCAATGTCTCTCCAGAGCACTATTTAGGCATTAAGCCTAGAAGTGTGTATGACTCAAAGAGTTGTGTTGACACAGGAAGGAACACATGCGAGTCCCACTTCACCTGGAAGTCATGTAGGCCTTCACATGTGTGGCGATCCCCCTTTGTGCCCTTTATACCTCTGGGTTCCACAAAGGTAAATACGCCCTTTTCGCTGCCACCAGGTATTACACTAATACCAAATCAAATCCACACCCAGGAGCTGTCACTCCAAAGCGTCATATAATTTCAGGAAGCAAGGGGTTTAAATAAATATTCTTTTATTATTGAACAAAATCATAAGGAGAATCAAATATAACTGTTTCATATGTTCATGTATATTAAAATCAGGTGTTAAAGTATCTCAGATCATGTCAATATTTCTCTTGTTATACTGATGCATTCATTCCTGCTAGTTCAATATATTTTACTTTTTCAATTTCCTTTCTTAACCCCTTTTTGCTAAACCCTAGCACTCCCTCAATATCTTCTGGTCCCTCACTCTGCCTGAACCTCTCTCTCTCTCTGATTCCAACCCCTAACTGTCTCACCCAGCTGTTCCAACTGTCATTCTGACTCCGCCCCTCCTGCTCCATCCCCTGATTGACATGCAGGAGTGATGTCATACTTTGGGTTCATTACAACATGTTCAGTAGGAAGGCCTGTGTAGGCACTGCAAAACATTCAGCTCAATGTACTTGGGTAAATTAAAGTGGTGGTTCCACTGGATCACCACTGGCACATACTACTGCTCTCACTGCCTTACAGAACAATACCATCCTTGGCCTAAGACTATGAGTCAGACTGACTTCCAATGGAAGGGAATTCCATTATTCACCAACTGAGCCTCTCAGGGTGAAGGTATATTTTGAAGGCATGAGGCAGCATCCCCTTCTTTTGCTAATGTGCCTCAATAATTATAAAACTTTATTTACCGGCTCTCTTTTTCAAGTAACGTGTTCTAACAAAAAAGGTAATACACTGAGACGTTACTTTTAAGTAGAGAAATATAAAGAGAGAAAGCTTGTGACAGTCTGTGGTTCGTAGTTCATGAATAGTGACAAACCACAGACGTCCCTTTTCCCAGTTTGTGGCAATCACCATAAGTGCTTGTTAAAATGATGGTGCTGTGAACTCATATACTGTATACTGGGACCATGTGAGGAAAAACTTTGGATGGCTGCTTGATTCACAAACTATATGTAAGGAGACATTTTTACTTTCAGAACCAGATGGCCACAAAATCCAGCAGAGGGTTACAAAGCACTGAGTCTCACTTTTAAAAAAAATCAATGACTTAGGAAAGCAAAACAGACTCACTAAAAGCTTTTAAATAAAGGATGGTGTCTCATGAACTTCAGGTGAACATTTTGCATTTCTTCTCAGACAACGTTATCAAGGGGGAAATACGCCATTTATAAAAATGAGATTACAACAAATAGCAAAAGTTGCTTAAAAGCATTTGAAAAAAGATCAAGGGATCTGGTGTACCTTCTTGATTGTATCCAACATGGATCTCCCTCCTTGCCATGGTTTTGAGTTTTTCCTAATGCATGTCAGACTTGCCATGCTGTGCCACTTTCGGTCCTCCAGTTTCTTATGGAAAGCATTCGCCAGTAAAAGAACAGTATCATAGATGTAGAGGTTGGTAATCTGTCAAAGAGATTAAAAATTGATTGTAAGCAGCTAGTACACACATGCGGGAAGAATTCATAAGTGGCTCATCCCAGCTGCCACCCACTCTGGCTTTAAGTGGAACAAAGTAAAAGTCTTACTCAGAGCTCAGCAAGTTACTTTTGAAAAGTAATTAGATCCAAAAGACTCCAAAGCAATTCAAATTAGAGTTTTATCTTTTTAAAAATCCAAGCAGGGTACCTATATTAGTTCTGTTTCTTCTGAAGCAAAAACAAGAGTTTCATGGTGCATTAAATATTACTGTATTTTTCAGTGTATAAGACGCCCCCATATATAAGACACCCCCACTTTTCTAATCCAAAATTAAGAAAAATAAGTAGGCTTAGCAAGTGTAGGGGGAAAGGGATCAAAGCGCTGCAAGATCGCTTTGATCCCTGCTTTCCCCTCCAGTTGTTTTTGTTCTCTCCTCAGCTTACTTCCATGTATAAGACAATCCTCAATTTTTAGTCTAAAGGTTTTAGACAAAAGTATAGTCTTATTCACAGAAAAATATGGTAACAAGTATTCATTATAAGCTTTCCTGGCCTATAGTCCAGTTCATCAAGCATGTACAGTGTTATAGTATCTGCATAGGCAGATGGGATTCATACATGTAGGGTGGTGTCCAAGTCTAAGGAACTTTAGATGAACTCTAGTAGGTTGGGGGATTATAATCAGAAAAACTGGAAGAAATAAATCACAGAAAGCTGTGATTACAGAAAATAAAGAAAACACAAACAATGCAGAAAGTAGAAATGGCATAAAAAGTGGGAAATAAACAAACAAAAGGGAGATGGTAATGCATACATCTCTTCATTGATTTTCTGATTAACATGTATAATGAGTTAAAAAGTTTCTGTCCCGATCTAAGCAGCAGAAAAGAGAAGTGAACAACTGAATGGATTCTTTTGCAGGGATCTCCACTTAGATTCCATCTGTTTCTCGAATTGGAAAGCTGTAGCATAAGGCAGGCACGTGAGCTAGTACTCAAACCATATGGTATTCCTCTTCCACTATCTGATGAAATTGCATGCCTGCAACTGTACACCTAAAACACTTTAAAACTATTCTCCCTTACATTTGAAAAGTAATTTAGTTACACCTTTGTTGGGAGCTAATCACACTTCGTAACATGTTGCTTCCAAGGTTCTCATGCTGTTGGAGAACTAGGGTATTGGAGTGGTACAGAAATGCCAGTTACTTTAATTTCCACCTGTGAGCATCAATGTGTCCCTAGCTGGCAGTGGAAATCCTGTTTCCTAATGTGAATTCTTCTATAGCATGTAAAGCAGAAAACCCTGTGATTGTGTCGCTTGTAAGTGAACAAGGACTAGTGTTTTCCTACTGATCTTTGACCCTCATTTTCCTTCTACAATAAAAATGCATAAAACCATTTTTTTAAAAAATGGATGAATTGAGAAAACCATTGGTTAAATCAGTAGATCTCGTAATTAACTTAAACTCTGATTTCTTTGAAACCCACAGCTCTTTTAACACAGTCTGATTTCCACTGTAATTGGCAAGGTAATGAATACATTACAGTGGTCGACCAGACCAGATGGGTGGGATATAAATCAAATCAAATCAATCAATCAATCAATCAATCAATCAATCAATCAATCAATCAATCAATAAAAAATACAGAAAGTCGGAGCAATTGATAAACTTGTATAGTTATATGATGAATTTGGCCCACACCTTCAGAAGATTTAATAATTAATAACAAGCATATCATGCATTATATAAGGCGTAGTAATGAATTCCTGATGATAGGGCTTTGAAAACTGTTTGAAACTTTCAAGATCTCCCTCTAACCCATGCAGTTGTTAGAGGCCACTAGCCAAACAAAACTAAGACCGCTAATGAGGCTGAAATTGGCAAATGATGATACCAGCTTCTGTCACTACTATTTTTCCATAACGTGACTTCAAATAAAACAGATCCTTCATGTTACATCAGAAAATACAGAAACATTATTGCAGTTCATATTGATCTATATTAATTTTGGAGCAATTTTGGAATGTCACGATCAGCAGACACTAAACAGATATTTCACGTCTTTATCAATAGTCACAACAAATCATTCATGTATAAATTTATTTCTGCATCTTCCTCCCTTTTTCCTATGACCTCAGGAAAAATGCTGCATGAATAATAAGAACTACAGGACATGAAATAGACTGTTTATTAAAAGATACTTTCATATATTTATTGAATGCTCTGACTGCTGTCACACGTAATTAAAAATGGGTTTGGATGAAGAGACCACTGATTTCATTTGTTAGAACTGCAGGATTCCATTGATTACTGAGGGGGAAGAGGACTGAATCTGGAATAAACAATAATGACTTTACTAAGAACCCAAACTTATGAAGTCTCAATATTTGCTTTTTGAGGAAGCTTGAGGCTGCAGGAGAGGCAGGCAAATGGTGGAATTCATTGTGTTGGACTGAAAACAATTTCCTGTCTGACTATGGAAATGAATAATGGGTACACTTTACTTTTTAAGGCTAACATTCCAAGGTCTACACCAGCACAAGAAAATATGCTTAGAAGTTGGTGGGGTGCAGGTTTATGTTCCACTTCATGCTCCTGTATCAGTCCTATGAGCTGAGGCTACAGTTAACATTCTCAAATCTCATTCACACAGAGCTTTACTCTCCCACTGGCTGAAATGCAACAACAACAAAAACAGTCAAAAGTTGCCAGAGAAAAATAATTTTGAACAAATTTCCTAGGGTATAAAGAGTAGCTGGGCAAATTAAATGTGATATGACTGGGTCAAAATGTAACTTGAACATGAACACATTAAAAGCTGTCCCTGCAGGTCTGGCAAAGAAGATAATTAAAATCAGGATTAAAAAGATTAACATGAAGGCTGACATAGATTAGTTCCAGATTATGTATTTTTCTTCTTGGTACAGTCACAGAAACTAGTCATATTTCTAAATCATATTTAGCTGATTTGATATTCCATGCTCTAAAAGAAACTCCTATCATTTTATTTCAGACAATGCTAACTGAAAAACCTAGATGGCAAATATGCCAAGATTCTTTTCAATAAATTGCTACAAACTTGTAGTTTTACCAGATACGGCCATGTTAGTCTGTACTAGCATGTTAGGCAAAAACAAAACAAAATTTTAAAAAATAGCTAAATGCCTTTCATACTTCTTGTTTTAGAAGAATTTGTAGACTTTGCTCAGAAGACTACATACATTGTGTTAATCATTAAATGATACACTGGCCAAAGTCCTGTTATGTAAGTTACACCAGTGGAAGGGTGATGACAGCCCAGCAGAAGGAGATTTTAAATAATTAAAGACTTCATCCTTCTAATCCTAGACTGTGTGACTCATGGGCAGCCTGTTTCATTGCACTGAAGCCATAGGAGCTATAGGAGAGACAGAAAAAGTCTTTAATTATCAAAAATCATCATTTGTTTGCAAATATAATGTACGCAACATGATTTTGGCCAATATCTATTACACTCAACACTTAAAGAAAGAATTCATTGGTGGACATGCTGGTAGGACTTCCAACTTCTGGGCATATATGTTAGTACTTATGCATTATTTTATAGTACCATGCTATTTTACAGATGCTTAATCCAGACTAAGTTAAAAAAAAGAGACAGAATGCAACATCAACAAAAGCAGGTGAAACAGGCATTTTTTTAAACTGCAGAAATCAATTCCGAAAACTTTTTAGCATTCAAGTATACATAGTAATGTGCCTTTCTGCCCACGTTGCCTCCAATATAGTCCAGAGGTATTCCTTTGTGGAGTAATAGCAGTTTATATAGAGAGAGATGCCATTCTAATAGTGATGAAAACATCCAAAGTATCTAAATGCAGGACAAGATGAAAATACCATGATTTATGCTTTAATTGCAAGGAGGAGAGGGAATGTTGTTGAAACTGTTGATGATTAGTTTCACAAGGAAGATTAAAATGACTCATGCAGTGTTAGAAATAAGGAACTTATCACCACCACCATCATAAATGTTTTTAAAAATAAGAAAGCACCTTCTAGATTTAGTCAGTGATTTGTTCCTTCTTTGGAAAGTTTACTTTGGGATGAGTTGTGATTGAGAAAAAATACATATCCATCCATCCATCCATCCATAGACAGCTAGAGCCCATTATTTAGCATAAACTTGAAAGAAGAGATGGTGGGAGACTGAAAATGCCATGAGCTCAAAATGCAACTACCTGTATTTTGCAAACACATGAAGTCTATGTCTGGTTCAATTTGAGCAGGGCTTCTAAGGCTGGACCTTTGCAACAGAAGAATCAGTTCCTTGGAACAGCTGATAAAATGTGTGCTAATTTTCAGAAAATAGACGTTACATTATGGACAAAATGTGTGGGTAGTTCATGTCTAAGTGAATGAACAGTGCATGTATAGTATAATGAACAGTGCAAGTCTGAAACATCAATATCGACCCCACCTTTTATGTGGGTAGTTCATGTCTAAGTGAATGAACATTATACATGTATAGTATAATGAACAGTGCAAGCCTGAAACATCAATATCGACCCCACCTGAACCCATCTGTTGATATAAAAATATATAGCAGATGCATAGAAATGCATTTATAGGATCTGAGAATACCTCCATATTTTGGGAGAAAGGATCTTTAGGATCACAAAGTGATGAAGATATTCGGTGATTTCCGCGGAAACAGCGCTGACTGATGTTCTGTGGTACAGGAAAGCTCTGCCGAATAATTGTCAGTCTTCCAATTGATTTTCTCACCAGTTCCTGCACATCTGCATCCCTGATTTCCTGCAATGAAACACAAGAAGTTGCAAAAGTTTGCAAGGTAAGGAAGATCATTTAAAAAGTATTTTAACCTGGCAGTACAAATCCATTCCAGCTCCACCATTCATGAGCCTGAAGGCCACATGAGCGTTAGACCTTTTGCAACAAGCTTTGATATCTATCAAGACTGCCCCCAGCTGATGATTTACACAGAAAAGTAGTGTAAATTGCAGTGGAAAACAATTCACCTGAGAGAATAGGTGGTTTTTCCTTCCCACACAGACCAAAGGAGAGAGAAACAGAAGGGGAGAGAAAGGAAGGAAAACAAGCTGTAACAAAAATCTGGAGCTTGTACTGTATCCATAGGGAGAAAGAACAATGAAAATGAATAAGGGAGATCTCCCCAGCTGCAGCTCATACAGGAATATGCTGTATTTATTGAAAGAAAGGAAGGAAGGAAGGGAAGGGAAGGGAAGGGAAGGGTTTAATCCAATGTGAATCTTTAGCCTTCTACATGTTTTGGATTTGAGCTCGCATCAATGATTTTTTTTTAAGGCAACTCAAACTTCTGCAATAGATCTCTCCCCCACTCCTGCTTTAAGCTGTTTCCTCTCCCTGAGCTGAGGTATGAGGAAGCATACATGGGGAAAGACACATTTCTTCCCTGAGTACTTTTACAGTAATGTGCATGAGCCATTTTGCTTACGGTGAAGGACAGCATGGCAACTGCGTTTTCCATAGACAGAAGCTGCCCAGGCTGGCAAGTGACTTTCATTTAGTGATATGGATCTATCCGTTCTTGATTTCACTGCATTTCTCTAGACCTCCAACAACATTTTTACTGCCCTTGTTTCATACTAGATTGTGAGACTTCATAATTTTCCTAACATGGACGTTTGTGATTATTTCCATATATATACCAATCCAAATCTATACACTTTTCATTGTTTTGTTCTTCATGTTCTTCTTCTTTTTTGTATGCATTGCTCCATACAACTAAAGCACATGTGTCAAAGATTCACGTTTTCAGCTGTGTGCATTTATTTGTGTATAATTCAAAAAGGGGAAACGCTGGTGGATGGGAGTGAGTAGGATCTGCCGCTTGCAGTTTCTTCCTAATGATGGGGAATTGACTGAGAGTCTTATAGAGCAGTGGTCCCCAACCTTGGGTCTCCAGATGTTCTTGGACTTCAACTCCCAGAAATCCTAGCCAGCAGAAGTGGTGGTGAAGGCTTCTGGGAGTTGTAGTCTAAAAACATCTGGAGGCCCAAGGTTGGGGACCACTGTTATAGAGCATATATAGGATTAATTTGTAAACAAATTGTCAGGTAACATAAATTTCCTTTCCTCTCTAATTCTTACTTGTACACTTGACAGTAGCGCCCCAGGTAGGTTGCACAGTGGACATTTATTCATTTATTCATTTATTTAGGGGCCTTTTCTCAAAGGCAGGCTCTCTATCATTGATATAGGTCAGTGATTCCCAACCTCGGGTCACCAGATTTTCTTGGACTACAGCTCCCAGAAATCCTGGCTGGCGCAGCTATTGGCGAAGACGTCTGAGAGTTTTAGTCCAAGAACATCTGGGGATCCAGGTAGGGAACCATTGATCTAGGCCCTCTTGAACCAAACAAACACTTTGATGAGAAATGTTCAAGAACTGGCAAGATTTCTTGCATCCCTGTGAGAGGAAGACATGAGACACTAATTTTGTTTTCATCGGAGGCATGGTGATTTGCACAAATTGTCACTTTGAAAATTTGTATGATATGCATAACATGATTTGCACAAAATTGTACTCATTTGCATTTTATTCTCTTGTTGAGAGTGCACAAAATATCAAAGAGTGAGCATAATATTTTTGACCTTTCTCAGCTATATGTGGAAGGACAAGAGAAGCAGGGATTTACATCTTTAGCCTGTAAAAACTTTAAGAGAAGAAAACTATTCGAGAAATCCAGCTGGACTAAGCTAGCAATATGGAAGAATCATTGCTACAACTATATTGATCCCAAAGGATGGGAATAGCTTGGGAAGAATAGCAGGAGAGGTTGACACCCCGCCCTACTGGAGGTCTGTTTCTAAAACATCTGTTTTAATCTGTCTACTGGTACTGTGGCCCAACAGAGCATCATTTAAAAATAGTTGTATAAAATCCTGGCAAAACAGACATAATCATCTTCACCATTAGTGGTATGCTGTCTTGTCTCCAACTTACATAGACACTCTCAAGGATTTCTAGGCATAAAGTACTCAAAAGTTGTTTCCCAGTCCCTCCTTCTAGTGGCACTCTGGGGCCATGCAGTTTGTCAACAGCTATGTGTAACCCCATCAGCTGCATCTGTGGCCAGTCAGTGGCCTGTTTCCCAGGAGGCACAGCGAGAATTTGAATTTGTGGCCTCTAGTGCCACACAGTGGATCTCCTACACCGGAGCTTTCTAACAGCTAATATAACAGGATGAGGTGAAATACCTGTATCACTATGTTTTTCGGGCACGGTGCTCATCCCCTTTTCCAAGCCGTAGAGCTAGCATTTGTCTCTGTGGTCACGCGGCCAGCGCGATTAGACATGGAACACCGTTACCTTCCCACCGTGGTGGTAGCTATTTATCTACTCACATTTACATGCTTTCAAACTGCTAGGTTGGCAGGACTGTATCACTACAACAGATGATAAAGCACTGGTGCTGCACAAGGATCTGGCAGGGATAGAATTTGAGAAGAAGGCCAAGAGAAGTAGATTGTTTTCTTTCAGTTCTTTCATTGACTCAGAAAATGTATTAAAGTTCTCTAGATATCTTCAGAAGAACACAGGTAATTTCCAGGTTAATTCAATATAAGTTTGGGAGAGATGGGTGCTCTCAAATCAGCTTTTGTGCATCAAGGGGTGCCAAGCTTGAGTTTTTAACTAAGTAATCTGATAACTACATGAAAGCGAGGGTAATAATTAAATTTGCTGCTATTTTTGCCAGGCCTAACATCAATCTATGCAAACACTGAGTACAGTGGTGCCCCGCATAGCGAGGTTAATCCGTTCCGGATTAACCTTCGCTATGCAAAAACATCGCTGTATGGGGCAGGAAAAGCCTATTGGAACGCATTAAACTTAGTTTAATGCATTCCAATAGGCGCCAAAACGTACCCCTCCAGCGATGTTTTCGCTGGTCCGGCGGCCATTTTGGAGCCGCCGATCAGCTGTTCGGCGG